CTGGTCTGCCTCTCCTGCATGTGTGCTCCAATTACCATACCACCTGGCTAGTCCATTATAATGATGTGGGCACATGGTGTTCAGTTTTGCATTACCAGGGGCCGGAGCAGCTGCTGGTATGCAGAAGGTGCTAAGGAAGTGCAAAATCTTGAACAGCTTAGTGGGTGGTAACTTGGTTCTCTTTGGATATTCACTATACAATATGAGGAGAGCTCTGACAGCACAGTGGATGGAAGCCAGTGTAGCACAGAGGTGGAACTGGCAGGGAGGGCTGGATAGGGCTCTAGGAGGGAAAAGGTCCTACATGGACTGAGCAGGCAGAGCCCCAGACCTGCTGGGAAACTGGGCATGTATGAGTGCATGCCCCAAATCCTGAGAGGAGGATGGAGGGAGGATGGCAGCATGGCCATCCCCCCTTAAAGATAATTTATTACTTTCTCTTTCTTTCTGTAATGAGCGCACGAACCCTATAGCAAAATTTTTGAAATTTAAAAATAAAAATTAAAAAAAAAAAAAAGGAGGAGGGACCAGCAGTTAGTGTAATGGCTATGTCACTGAACTCCCATGTAGCCGACTGTGGTTTAAGTCCTGAACTTGGTGGCTTAAAATGACGCCGGGCGTGTGTGCATGTATGCCCAAGATCCTGAGAGGAGAATGGAGGAGAAGGGGTTGCGGCGTGGCCATTCACCCTGGGGGGTGACTTCTCGCTTTCTACATCTCTTTCTGGTGAGTGCATGCGCCCTATAGCAAAAATCTCTCAAGAAGAAAAAAAAAAAAAAAAGAAAGAAAGAAAAAAGAGGAAGAGCATTTAACCAGACCTTCACATGCCTTTCCTAATAATATGGTTCAACTGTGAATGTAGAAGGTGGGAGGGGGGAGAAAAAGAAAACTCTGGAGTTAGAGGATATAGAACAATAAAAGTACAATTGTTACTAATAAAGAAAGCAGACTTCAATAATAAACAAAAAGCCACAAGCCAAACAAACCACAATTTAAATGCTTGGAATTGGCAACACAAAAACAAAAACTCTCTTCTGGTTTTTCTTGTGGCAACCTGAACACCTCTAGAAAATTGAACTGAAGAGTTTAGAAAACAAATAGACAAGGACCAGCAGTTGGCGTAATGGCTATGTCACTGGACTCCCATATAGTTGACCGTGGTTTGAGTCCCAGACCTGGTGGCTTAAACTCACGCTGGGCATGTGTGCATGAGTGCCCAAGATCCTGAGAGGAGAATGGAGGAGAAGGGATTGCACTGTGGCTATCCTGGGGGGTGATTTCTCACTTTCTGTCTCTCTCTGTCTCTCTTTTGTCTTTCTGGCAAGCACATGCACCTTATAGGGAAAAAAAATAAAAATAAAATAAAAATAAAAACAACCTCTCAAAAATAAATAAATAAATAAAAGAAAAAGAAAAGAACAAATAGCCAATAAAAGTAAACACACACACACAACAGCAAACTTCAGGTAATTATTTTGGACTACAAATGAGGATAAATTTAATGTTCAAACAATCTGATAAAACAACCATTTAGGAAAAAAAAAAAAACAAGTAGGTGTTTTCTAGTTAGAAAACATGGGACTGGTATTCTAGGCAGAAAAAAAACAAGTCAAGGAAGGTGTGATGAAGGAGAGCTTCCAGGCAGGCTGGGCTGTGGTGAGTCATTATTGTGGCAGGCCCCTAGGGCTTGTGGCTGAGGAGTTGCTGAAAATTAAGATGAAAAGATGGGTGGGGTGTGATTGTAAATGCCTTGAAAAGGAGTTTAGACTTTATCCAGGAAGTTCAGAAATATGCAAGAATTTCAAGCATGATCCAGATTTTAAGGTAGGGCCTCTGAGATCAAGGTCGGCCAGACTCAGATGCTACCAGGGCCTCAGCTCGTCTCAGCTTCCTTGTCCACTCCTCCCCTGCCCTATCTGCTCTCTGCGTGGCACCACCTGGGATCAGCTTTGATCCTCAGGTTCTATAGTCAGCCTGACCCTGACCCTGCTACCTTTCCCTGGCCAGCTCATCCTTCACTCCTGTGTTAGAAGATACATTTAGGAACATTAAAAGTTTAAAGAGTTCATTTGAGCAGACAGTGATTCATGAATCAGGGCTCCACCCAGGGGGGCAGAGAAGGATGGAGGGACTTCTATAAGGTGTTCAGGAAGCAAGGGGAAGAACCCATCTGATTGGTTGAAATAGAAGGTTCCTAGTTAGAGGTGAGTTGGTTTCTGATTGATAAAATCTCTAAGTAGAGGATAGTTGGTAGTTTTGATGGGTTGGGCTTAAGCTTTGTTTTCTTAGGCTATGACCATTCTCTCTGAGTTGGGTTTCAGTTTGCTTATGTAGAAACCCTAGGTGTGGGGCCATTTCAGCTAATAGCCTTCCCAGTTAATTGTTTTAACATACAATAACTCTTTTTCCTGATTCTTCTCTTGTGAACTGTGC